ATAATTTGATTAAGAATCGTTTAAATTAAACATTATAAACCTATTTTTAAATTTAGATGATGACATGGAATGAAAGTCCACTTTTTCTTCAAATGAACCCTTTTGACATTGTCACATCGAAGAACCTACCAATCACTGTTTATGAATCAATTATTGACCTTATCAATGGACAAGCTCAAACAATGTTCATCAAGTCACAATATAAGATTGAAACTGGTGAAGCTGAACGTATTGCCGTTGACCATGTTGCTCATACAACTCTTGGAGAAGGCGGTGAAGGATCTTCACGTAAGTACAATTAATTGATCTTTAACGGAAAAGTTTTAAATTTTGAATCATTCCTTACGTTTATTATTTAGTAATCGCACATTTAACAACACAAAGGAATGCAATTAAAATGTTGCATACTAGAATAAAGATTCTTCATCAGTACCTTGTCAATGCCAAATCAGGTATATATTTGAGATTGATTATTAAAGCTTAAATATATATACTAAATTATATTTGTTTTTAGATGAATCATTTGTTGATCATGATGTTCTTCGCCAGATTGCTGGACTTTGTAATCGATTGCCAACCATTGATAGTGCCGATTTCCGACAAGAATTCCTCACGGTTTGTGATATTTTAAAATATATGAATTTTTTTTTTGTTTCGTTTTATATAGCGAAATACTTAGAAATAAGTTATTTGTGTAGGAATACAATGATGTTTTATTGACATCATATCTAGCAACTATAACCAAGGGAACTAATTGCATTAATGAGGTATATATAATAAGGACATGGTATTTTTATTTTTTATTTTTTATTTTGATATATTAACTTTTCTTGTCCTCCTAGCTTGTGGACAAGTTTAATATTGCAACTAGCACCAATAAACCAGGAGGACGTGGCAGACATCAACAACATCAAGGATTCCCAAATTTTTAATTATTAGAAATCTCAGTAAGTTTTCAAGATGTGATAGTCATATGAATATGTTTTTCATCAATATCATTTTATTTATTTAGAAATTTTTTTTATTATTATTATTATAAGCTAACAGTTTTTGTTTAACTAAATGATGCATTTTAATGAATAAAAAGTTAATCAAGTAGAAAAGTATAAAGATAATACAGATTGAAATTTTTTTTTTTCATTTAGAAATAAAAAAATATTTATTGTTATTTGATCACCAAGATTTGCCAACCTATAATTTTTAAGATGGCTGTTAAATAAAGTCAATGTCTTTAAAGCAACATAATTAACTTACACATTTTTGTACACATGATTTGAAATCAAGAAATTCTTTATGACAAGCATTATGATGAATAGAATCAAGTTGAGAAGTTACACATTTTGCATATGTTGTGGCCTTTAAGAGTAAAAATTTGCGCGATTTAAAAAAATATCGTAATAAAAAAATATATATATGTATATCTTTCATATCATTCTACCTGTATAGAACATTTTGATACAGCTTTGGCAAATATTGCAACGGTTGTTTTCTCTTTTAATGGCATTAAAAACTATTTTTGACAGGCGAGTTTAAATATATTAATTTATGTAGGAAGTTGAGAACGACAATTCACGTGATGCGTTGCACTTAAAACAATAAAGTAATGCCAAGTAGATCAAATTTCAATTATTTACCTTTTGGTTCGACAATAGAACCTTACAAAGGAAGATTGATTGTCGGACTAATGTCAAACGTCATGAGATTTATCACAAATAAAACTTGACCAAAAAAAGTTATGATTTATACGTAACATAAATGCACAACTTTTTAATATGTATTATATTGTATTGTATATATTGAAACGCGAATTTTTAAATCAAGATTGATCGCACATGATGAACAAATTATTGAAACGCGATTTTTTTTTTTAAGTAATTCTTTCAAACAAAGCCAAACTAAAAATCTCACTAGTATATAAATAATTTGGAAATTTTTTGCGCCATTAAATTAAGAGACTTGAAAATAAAGTTTTTTAACTATTAAAATTATTAATAAAATAAATAATCTCATCTTATCTTAAATTAAGATAATTTTTTAAAGTTTAATGAAAAATTTATGCCTAGATCAACAATGGGGGAAAGAACAATAGAAATTTCCCACCCATTTCTTCAAGTATTAATTCAAGGGAAAACAAATCTCGGGGGACAATACTGCGCATAAATGAGAATTCAATCTTCTTTTTTTTCTAAATCTTCATCCATTTGAAGCGGGACGAACCTTCTTTGTTAATGCCAAAAATTTTAAAAGGTTTTATTTATGATAAACATTTAGTTTTTTAAAAAAAAAAAAAAAATATTGTTCACCAATGTCAAATAGATTGATTTTCTTCAGATGCGGTACAATCACAGCATTAATTGGTGGTGGTATCACACCGAAAATATTGTTACCTTTCGTTTATACGGTATACGAAATATATAAATAATACTTCCTAAATAAGAATTTCCTTTGAGGCAAACATCTAGCCATTCATCGAAAGCATGAAAGCGTAATATGCATGCATGTATCATGACTATCAGAAACATTTGATTTCTTTTTTTTTTTTTTTTCTTATTTCTTTAAAGAAAAAAAAAACACAAATGAATTGCGGAGCGCACAGGTCATAATTAATATTATATATTAGTTATCACGGTATTCCCTTGAATTTCCCGGTTTAAAAAAATCAAGTGTCTTACAATTACGACATGTCAAACGAAAGATATTCAGAGTTTGCCTTTTTTGTTGTCATTGAAAAAGATATACTCCACATATTAATGAGTAGATGGATTGAATAAGTATCATGAGTAACTACATTTCCTTTTCATAATAAAGTTCCTTTTTTGCCTAATTCTAGCCAACTTTTGAACCTTTATCCAATTGAATATCCGTAAATGGCTAGATATGTGCATTTAATGCTATTTTTTAACAAAGAAGCTTTGATTATTAATGATGGTTTATTCTTCAATCAATATATTTATGGTAAAATAATCGGATTGATTGTGTCATAAACCATTTATTCCCGGAGAGTATAAAGGCTCCATCAGCAATTACCCGGTGAAAGATCCTCGAGCGACTAATAATTTTTCTAGATTTTTCTATTTAGCATATTTGACATTTTAAAAAGGAGGGATAATATATGAATCGGAATCAATAGTAAAAAAAATTGTCAATAGCCTTTATGTGATGTCACCTCGTCGCATACATGACATTGCATTTATCAAGTCCTTTTAAAGCCTTCTTTTTGTGTATTTACCAATTTATATTTTAAATCCAATTTTGCGTCTGGAATATCATACTAACTTCTTTGAGTTTTGAATTCCTAAAGAAATTGGTGTTGGACCTTTCTTAAAAGTTTCACATACAGTAATCTTTATTGTTAACTTTGTCATCTAATTGTCCTTTTTATTTTTAAGTTAAAATTCCTTATCACCTTTATATTTTTCTACGATCTTATTCTGTTGACTGATCGGATGGTTATTTAATATTTGAGATTTTTATAAATTTTAGCCGAATAATTCTTAATATAGTAAATGAAATTCATACAATCAGAAAATGATTTAAATGATTTCCATTTCATTAAATACTAGAATGTCATTAGTTCAGGTTTTATTTGTCATGACGTTTGACATTATTCTAGTCCAACAAATCAATAATCCTTTGTTTATTCGCATAAGGTTCTATTGTCGAGCCAAGAAGTTTAAATAATAATTGAAAATTTTTTGATCTACTTGACACTTTTTTGTTTAAGGTGCCGCTCATCACGTGAGTTGTCATCTCAATGTGACACATGAGTGTGCACGGTTCCGAAAACCAAATCCTTGGTACATAATCGGTTGAATAATCACAAGAGATAACTTGTAAAAAATTTCACCATGCACACAATTTTTCCCTTACATGTTTAAAGACATATTTTTCCGACATAAGAGAAAACTTGGGGGTTCTTTTTTTTTTATCTAGGGAAGGAGGAGGTAATGTTTACCACAATATGTCTAAATTCGATTCATTACTCTAAACATATTTATTGAAAATTTGGACAATAACAGACAATAACAGGTTTTATAACAAGTAAATTCCTCAAACATTTCTCCTTTTTTTAAAGGATTTCTATTGATTTACCTGATTTGGACATTCATTCTTCCCTTTAAACAATATGTTGTTTATTTTCTAATTTTTTTAGTGATATCTTCGAAAATATAAATAAAAATATGTCATAATAATATTAAATAATTAAATACAATGAAATTTTTTTTTCCTCATATTTACAATAAGAGTAAGAAAGTACCCTAACGAGTTTAGATCTTTTGGTTTCATCCTTTTTTTTTTGACAACTCAAATTTCATTATTTTACCCTTTGTTCTTTCTTTTTTTTTTTTTCATATGTAAATTTCAAATGATAATAATATCACCTTTATTTTCCTAACAGACACTAATTCCTCGTCATTCTACAAATCCTGTGTAACGGAAGGCAAACATATCGTTTTTATTCCTTTTAAAAAAAAAAAATATTAGATACAAGTTTTTAAAAGAAAAATTCAATAAACTCTTCCGAATTATACTTACGCCTCTACTTTTTTTACAAAAAAAAAAAGAAAAATAAAAAATATTTTTGCACTAAAAAAAAATCAAACGGGAATATCAAATAGAATAAAAAAAAAAACGTGGTTCTTTTTTTTTTTTTTTTTTTTAAGAAAAATAAAAAAAATTGGTTTCAAAAAAAACCTCTTCATAAAAAAAATAATTTCTTTCGCTAATAATAGAAAAATTAAAAGGAAAATAAAAAAATTTTTAATAATATAAAAAAAATTTTTTTCTTTTAAAAAAGTAAAATAAAATATTCTTCGAGAGTGGTTTTCGCCCATAAAAATAATTCTTTATACTTCTACCGCCAAAAAATAAAAATCGAAATATTCAGTCGAAAGGATAACCTTCTTCCTCCCTTTTCCCCTTTTCCCTCTTTCAATATCAACACAATATTACTTACACTTACCTTTAATTAATACTTAAATACTTCATCTTACAATAAAATGGAAGAAGAAACTACATATAATCATATGACAGAAGAAGAATCTGACGAAGAAATATTACAAAATGGTATAGAAGAAGTAATAACAGTGGACCAAGAGTTCGCTGAAAAGCAAAAGGTGTTTCAAGAAACGATCAATACCTTACAACAAAAGTTGGAACTACAATCTACCACTACCGATAATATAGGCGACCCTCTCGAAGAATACTTTAAAATTATTAAAGCTTTATCGTCTTGGATGACGAATACCGTTACTTCAACTCTTTCCTCCTCCCCTTTTTTACCGTTAACCATTACTCTTGTAACAGATCTTGATACTCTAAATACTTTTGAGGAAAATTTATCAAATATAGAAATTGATATAATAAGTAATAAACAAATTGAATATAATCAACTCTCCACTTTTTCAACAAAGTCCGATTCATTCTCTCAATTATTTTTCACTTTTGATTTCTTATGGCAAACGTTTAATTCTTTAATAAAATTAGGAAAGTTAAAATTACAAGAATTAAAATGGGTAATAGAATTGAAGTCAAATGTTGAACAAGTTGAGGTTGAGATCAAAAAGGTTGAAGCCATGTTGGAAGGTGTTGAGGATTCTAGAAAGAAAAATATTGATGATGGTGGTGGCGGCGGCGGCGGCGGCGGTAGTAGTCTTCAGGGTAGCATTAATAGTATAAATTTTGATTCGTCCAGTGACGTCACAGTAACTGGCATTGTCTTTTCATCGTCCCTATTAGATGAATGGTATACCAAGGTTGTCGCGGTTGAGGAATTGGTTCAAGATGTGAACGCAAAAGTTAAAGAAGTTACAACCCAGTTGGGTCATGAAAGATTTCGAGCACCAGTTGATTTATTTGATCATATAAATCTTATCATTAATAATAATGTACCCGAGTTGAAGAGCAAAATTGCCGCCACAAAGCAAGCCTTGGCTCATGATCGTCATATAGGAAGGTGGTTTGATGGGGCCAATGAAGCTGACAAATGGATCCTTGAAACTTTGAATCGGGTAAAAGAGTTTGAAGTTCCGGATTTTATTAATAAGAATGAATGGTCCGAAGAGGAACAAAATCTGGAATCTAAAATCGCTGAGAGAAGAAATATGATTGAAGAGCTTTCTCTGGATTCGAAATCTAATATAATTGATGAACTTAAGACAAAAGCAAATGATATCATATTTAGCATTAAAGACTCAAATGATACCGAAGATCAAGCCGTTATTGAATTAATGACAAAACAATTAAAAAATCTCAACGAACGATTAACGAAATTAAATGATTTCATTACCCTCCTTTTATCACAAACTACTACCGAACGTTATTCTATTGTATTAAATTTACTCAATAACATGCAAGGAATGCGCAATCAAATGACTCAAATCAGAAAGACAATTCTTGAACATAATGATGCTGATTTAGTTGCTAATGATGTTAAAGATGTTGAAAATCAAATATCTAATTTTGAAGAGGAACTTTTAAATGATGACTCGGTTCTCGCAAAAGTTTTACGTCAAAAGCATGCTACATTACTTCTTACCATTCAAAAAATCCGTGTGGCTTTAGCTGAAAATAAACTTCAAATGGCCGCTTACCTAAGTCCTTCCTCTCCAACTTCTGGTTCGGAATTTGATCGATTAAGGGTCGTTATACAAGATCGTTTAGAACTTTTTTATTCGAGTTTAATCACACCCCCAACTTATATGATTGATTCTGATAATGACAATGAAGAACCTGAACGTATACATGGTCTCACTTGTAATGATGATCACGTTGAAGAACTCACCGAACGTTACTCTAACATTGAATCTGAATTAATCACTTTTGAAAGGACTTTGTGGGTTGAATTTTGGTTTAAAAGTGATCCCACGAAAAAAGCTCGTAGTGATGATGTGGTTAATAATTTGGAAAAAAAATTTAACGATGTCAAAGGTCTCATGAAAGATAGGAAAAAGGACCTGATCACCATAAAAGAAGGGAGAGAATTCGCAAAAAGTGTTAATGCTATACGCAATCAACTTGATGAGGTCAAAGGAAAGATGAGAAGAGGTGATACGACCATCGACGCTTCTTTACAAGAATTGGATGATCATATGGTTGAAGCTTCATCATTAATTCATTCATTAAAAGATTCATATAGTAATTTCTTATCTTCTGAAGCTGAGGATCAAAAGTATAAAGAAGCTTTTGATGAACAATTAAGCCAGCATAAACTTGTAAAGGGATGGATTGAAGAAGTACGTGTTTGGCTTAGGGAAGCTATACGTATACGTGGTTGGATGAATGAACGTGTAGAAATTTTACAAAATGTTCCTAAAGTTGATCCTTTTCAAGAAGGGGGAGCTCCCGCTACTCAAGAACAAGTAGATGAATGGCAAAAGGAACATGATGAATTAGAGAGAGAGGTTGAAAAGTTTGACTCTGGAGATGTCACTCGTTTAAGAGCTCATGTTAAAGGTATGGTTGGAAGCACTACCGATACCACTGATGAAATGTCTCCCGCTGATGCCATGACAATTGCAATCACCTTTGAAACTTTGAAAGTTCTCGATCAATTACTTGGAAAGTTGAGAGTTCGTGAAAATGAATTGGCTCTTTTAGCTTTACGCGTGCAATGGGAACGTGAATATGGTAATGCAATGAATTCTTGGAATAGATTAATTGATGAAATTAATGGTTTCATAAATAACCGTGGTAGATGGCAACTTCCAATTTCCCCTGAAGGTGATGGTTGGTTTACTAGCGAAAATCAACTTAGTCAAAATGACGTTACTCTAGAATCAAAGCAAATCTATGAACGATTGGTAGATTACATAACAAATATAATACCTCCCACAACTGAAATTTTTGATGAGTTATTAGATACTTCTCTTGTAGAACTACCCGAACATTTACTTGAAAGACAGGAAAATATTGAAGAAAGCGATAAAGCATACTTGGAAGAATATTTTGATTTCGCTAAAGATGTTTTGACCCAACGAAAGCAAGTTCTCGATTATGTTCATGAAGTGGACTCATCTCATGTTGAGGGAGTTAAATTGAAGGATGAATTAATTCTTGAGGAATCAAATCCACGTGGTGGATCTGTAGAAAAGAAATTTATTGCCCGTGTAATTGAGCTTAATAAACGCGTAGAAAAATCTTGGAATTCAATGGCTCAACAAATTCTTTATCCCGATCATGAAAAACATAATGAATCAGAAAATGAAATGATAAGACAAGCGATAATAGCTTATAATGAAAAATTAAAGGCGTTGCTTGGAGAAACAGATGAAGCCTTGAAAAATTATCAACGCGCTCTTAAACTTGTAGAAACAGCAAACGAATGTAAAAAAGAAGCTGATCGTTTAAAGAATTGGATTGTTAAAAAGGACGATTATGTAAACAAACGTAAATTTGATGTTTTCCAAGAACCTTGTAAATTCACTTCTCAAGATATTGACAATTACGTTACCTCAAATGCTCAAATCGCTGTTGATATCCATAATTTCGACGAAGAGGAGTTAAAAGATTTACGTCAAAAAGTTGCAGCTTTAATTACTGAAGTCAAGGCTATTGGAACAAAATGCGTCAACACTGATGAGTTGGAAGGTATAATGAAAGATCTAGATGATAAGTTGAATGGACTTCGTGATGATTTTCAAGTTTTACAATCTCGCGAACCTGATGAAGTCAATGCTGCTAAAAAACGTCTCATATGGGAAGATTCTCTAAAGAAATCAAATCATTTTCTCGATGATACAACAAAAGAATCAAAAACTTTTATTACTTCAAAAGCGACATGGAAACCCGAAACTCCAGAAGATACTTCCGCACATGAAATGCTTAATCAAGAATATTCTTCCCTTGAAGGAAAAGTTAAAGACTTTATATCCAATGAGATTGTTGAAAACAAATCAAATTATGATGCATTCATTGAAGCTAGTGAAAAGTTAGATGATAAGGATCGTCGTAATCATATTGAAAATCGTCAATCTAAGCTTGAATCTGATGTTGATAACCTTAATGAATGTGTTTCATTCGCTCATGATCTCTTGGAACAGCGTGCTGCGGTTGTAGAATACATGTCGGAAGCAACAAAATTGGATAATAATGCAGTTGAAATTAAGAAAAGTCTCATTGAAGCCGAGAAAAATGTGTCAAAGGGCCCAAGTGAAATTGATTTTGAAAACCAATTAAAAGATTTCAATCAAGATATAACTGCTTTATGGGATGAACGTGGTTCAAAATTACCTTATCCTACAAGTCATATTATTGATAAAGTAAAAGTCACAAAGAACACCGTTATAGAAGCAGCCGCTCAAAAACGTTTGTCTTCATTAGAATCTGCGAGAGAAGAATTAGATAAGTTATACGAAACTTATCAAACCTCCTTAGCACTTCAACAACGAGCTAACGAATGTATCAATGATTCTTCTCGTTTGCAAGATTGGATTTCAGAAAGACGAAAGAAACTTGAAGAAAATAAAGTTGACCCTCTTGCTGAAGATTGTCCTTGGAATGAATCCGAGGTTCAGGAAATGAAAGAACAACATGAAGAATTCCTTAAAGAAAATACAAAAGTTGATATTGAAGATCTAAGTCAAATTCGTCGTAACCTTGAAACCTTACTAGAAGATATCAAAAAAGCCAATTGTAAAAGTGTTGATCAAAAACCACTTCGAGAAGCATTGGAGGAACTCAATAAAAAGTTTGGGGAACTTCAATCGGAATCTGCTTCACACCAGTTGGATCTTTCTGTATTACAAAGTCGTGCTAAGTGGGAAGATCAGTATGGTCCTGGCTTAAGTTCGCTTGATGAACTAACTAACCAAGTTAATGAATTTATTTCCGAGAGAGCAAGATGGTCACCAGAAAAAGCAAATCCAGAAACCGATTTAAATCAAGAATTTACCAATATAAAGCAGAAGGTTTCAGAATTTGAAGAGCAACCCTTAACTTTAACAAAATCAGCATATAATGATATGTTATCTTCTATTAAAACTTACCTTTCAAAACAACCTCCCAAGCACATTTCCGACCGTCAACTTGATTTTGCTGAACGGTTCGATAATCTTACTAAACGTGAGGATTTAAGTAAACAAGTTTTGGATCAAAGGGATGCAACAACTTCATTTATAAATCAAGCAAACCATTTAGAAAAGGAAGGCGAATCATTAAAAGAACAATTGAAATCTGCCGAAGAAAGTGGTACCGTAGACCCTAGCCTTACTGACAAACTTGTTACCTACAAAGGTTATTTGGATGATTTAAAAAAGAATTTTGCGGACAAAATTGCTTACCCCATAGATTCCCTAGCCACTGATGATGTCAATGCACCAATAAAACAGGTTGTTGATGCTCGTACTGAAGATCTTGCTCATCTCTCCAAGGAGCTTGATGAGTTATTAAAATCTTATCAAGAAACAATGAAGCTTTCCGAACAACTCGAAAATGCACTTTCAAAAGCTAAACAACTCGAAGATGAATTTGATAGTTTCATTTTCGATAAAGCTGCGTGGCAACCTCAAGAAGGTCTTGTAGAAATAAAAGATTTGTTGGCTGAATTAAATGATATTAACGAGAAGGTTTCCGAGTTCGATAAAAACACTGTTATACCTGTTAATAATAAAGTTGATGATTATGAAAAGTTGATGGCTGAAAATGAAAAAGGTGTACCAGAACATATAGCAGACAAATACAATAAATTGAAGGAATCTATTAATGAATTAAATGAATTAGACAAATATGCTAGAAGCAAAATCGATCAACGAAAGGCCGTTATGGGCTACATGGCAGACGGTTCTCGATTGGAAAAAGAAGCTGAACAAATTCAACAGGTAAGTTTAATGGATATTGACGAATTCGTTGATTGTTACTTTTTGATTCATGTACTTTGATATTTATATTCGAATAGATACTCTTATCTAACGAACCACATTCACCTGGTGGTGAAGGCAACACGGTCTCTAATGCAGTCAATAGTTTTTCGGATAGAGTTCAAATTTTATGGAATGATATTGCCTCACAAATCCAATATCCTACATATTCAATAGAAAATATTGAAAAGGTTCTAATTGGACGTATAGAAGATAGCAATAACCATATCAAAGGAGCTGTGAACGCCCAGAATGAATCACTTACATCTTTAGCAAATAGTTTGAATAAGTTACTAGAGACGTATCAAAATGTATTACGTCGAAAGAAGATGATCGAAGCATATATAATTCAAGCCAATGACGTTGCTTCATGGATTCAACCAAAATTGGATGTTTTGGGAGGTATTCTTAATGATGAAACTTTAGGAGAATTATCAAATGATAAAATACATGGTCTTATAGGTGAAGTCGATGATGTAGAAGCTGCTCTTCAAGCTTATCATAGTGCTTTTGGTTTCGCAAAAAGCTTGGCGAATAAACTAATTGAAGATATGGTAAATGAAATTGAACAAGGTGGCGATGATATTGAAGATATAAAAGTTGATCTTGAACTTGTTCGTTCCAAACAAGAAGAAATTGACGCATTATGGGACGTGTTACAATCGGATGTACATAAAACAAGAGATAGATTGGATCAAGCCCTCAAAATTGTCGATTTCAAAGAAAAAACCAATGAATTTCTCAATAAGGTCAATGATATGTCTAGCATAATTTCAAGTACTTCGGTCGAAGACGTTTCTGGTGCTGACTTGAAAGATTGGCAAATCAAATTAAATAGTTTAGAACAAGGAGAACTATTCTCTTTAGTCAAACTACATGACGTAGTTCAAGGGAATTTAAAAGAAAATCATGGCGCTCTTAGTGATAAGGAATCAAAAGAACTCGAAGGTCTTTTAAGAGAAGTTGCTAATTCTATTGGAGAACTGAAAAAATTGATGAATGATAAGATTGATGAAGTTGAAGCATATCAATCTTTACAGATTGCTAATGCTTATATGAGTCGTGTTAGTGATTTACAAAGGTGGATTGAAAATTCAATAGCAACATTCGCGGATGCTAAGCCTAGACATGGTATCATGGTAGGAAATTCTGATGAACTTAACAAAAACAATTTTGATGAATTAAGATCGATTTTTGAACAATTCTCCCATGAATTACCTGATCGTGTAGATCAACTTGAAAGCATAAGAACAGACTTTCAAGATATATCATTAAAGGATGGAATACGCGAATTACAAGATATATTGAAATGGCAAGCGAACCTCGATCAATCTTGGGACAATTTAGATTTAGCTACAGGTGAATTCAAGAACTTTATTGATAAAACTGAAAATTGGCATGATCGACATGATTCCATATATCATGTTGAAAATGATATTTTGGGAGGATTGGAAGATCGTATTAACGGATTAAGTAGCATAGATTATGATAATTTGGAAACAGAAGTCAAAGAACTAGATGATAACATCAAAAAGGCTAAACCAATCCTTGACGAATCTAAATTAAAAGCAAGTCAAATGATTGATGATCCTGATGATTTAATTGACTTGACAAACCGTGAGAATTTCGAACATCATTACAACGAAGCAATTAATCGTCTTAATGAGTTAACGACATCATTCCATGTTGCTCTCACCGCAGCTCATAACGCTTCATTATTAGCAGCTTTCCGCGCGGACGCAGATCGCATAATCAGGAATTGTTACGAAGGAATTGCTATTGTAAAATCAAGACATGAAGATCTTGAGAATTTTGTATATTATGCTTTAGAAATTGATGCTCTTGAAACAAAAATAAGTGATGCTATTGATGGATATTCAGAAAGTGAAGAAAAGTTTGGAAAATACGATCAACAAGTAAATGTCGATTTGAAAAAAGAGGCGGAAAACCTTATTGAAATGAATCCTGAATCCAATAAAGATCGTGTGTTAAACATTTTCAGTAAGGTTACAGCTGCTTTAGAACAATTCTCTGATGCCGTTGCTCTCGAACGACGTGAAATTGAACTTTCAAGAAGAGTTCTTAATCATGCTAAGACTGCAGTAAAGATCAAGAATTGGATAGGTCCTTGCAAAATGGCAGTATTGAATATTCAAACCGCCACAATTGAACAAGAAAACGAGATAGTAAATTTAGAAGAAAAAGTTGAAAAATTCCAAAGTTTCATTGATGATTTCAAAAATAGTGAAGCTGATAGCGCAGAAATTGATGCCCCTCAAGAAGAAACCAATCCTAAATTTAAAGATTGTATACGAACACGAACAAATCGTGTGCTAGAGGATTGGTACGGACTTAAAGATTTACTCGCAAATTTAAGAACAAGTCTGAATGCATCAAAAGAAAGTCTAGAAGTATCACGTACTATTAAAGAAATTTTAGTAGCTATTGGTCAAGTTAAAGAGAGAGTTTTGAACATTGAATCATTTATCACCGGTGAAGGTATTCCAAGATTACCTACAAAAGATGATATAGAAGGAGGAGAACTTGAACTTGATGAGATTCAAGCTGAAATTGATCATATCCTTGGAACAAGAATTATATCTTTAGATGAAATGATAAATAATTTAACAGAAAATGATTCGGGATATGTTCAACAACGTCATGGAATTGCCGAAGCATTAACCAATCTTGCAAGCATAATCGATAATAAGAGGAATCAACTTACGGATGCGCATAATTTGGCATTGTTTGGTACTAAAGCTGACGCAATGAATGCTTTAATGAGCTCGTTGCTTGAAGTTGTTGACCTCGCGACCACGACAATGGATGGTTCCCCAATTTCATTATTATCCATAATTGAATTACAATCACGTAAAATTGAACTGGAGTCCAAATATAATTATTATTATCCTAGAATCAATCAACAACTCGAAGAATGCAGCCGACTTGCAGATCCATTACGAGATGATTGGCGTGTTCATGATCGTTTGAATATACTGAAAGAACAATGGACAGAATTGATAGAAGTCGCCAACGCCAAGAAAGAAGAATTACTTCAACTACTTGTCGGCGAAAAACCAAAGACACGGCACGCACGTTCTCATTCACAGATTATATCAGGTACAAAAATTTTTTTCATCCACGATCGTCATAATCATCATCACGCTCACTTACTTTCTCCTTTTTCACGTGTACAAGGTCGAAAGAGGGGTGTTGTTTCACCAGGTGTATCTCCATCACGAAATCCCATGTACCGACCTTCTTCAACCTCACGTATCGCCCAAACTCCATCTCGCCTATCACCGAGTCCAACGCCAGGTTCACCAGGTTCACCACGACGCCCGCCAATAAGACTTATACCACATAATATTAATAATTATGTTCCGGATCCTAAAGATCAACTTGACGTTGAAGTGGCAAGAATAGTAAACGCTTGTCCTGTAAAGATTAAAGTTTCCATGGTTGAAGGTGAACCAGGAAAATATATGTTTGGAGAAGTTGAACCAAAGCTTTGTTACTGTCGTATACTGAGAAGTCGTATGGTTATGGTTCGAGTCGGCGGAGGCTGGGCAGAACTTTCAAAGTAAGTTAAATCGATTTCAATTTATACCTGTCAAAAGGGTTAATATGTTTTTGTTTCGTTTCTAACGTATTCTTTGAATATTTTCTAATGATATTTTTTTCGTCGCTTAATAATTTTTAAAGATTCCTTGTTGGTATGTACATTGTTGAAATACTGATGTAAACACGCCTTACTCAGGAATCATATATAGCATATATGATAAAATTTCCAACGCGTTGGAAATTCACGATATTTATTGAAAAAATATTGTTTTTTCTTTTTCTTTTTTCATTAATTTGATGTTTACTACATATGACAATATAGATAACAATGATGTCACTCTCCAATTCATTCTGCCACAACAGAACACGCTAACCTGGAACAAAAATACATCCCCAAAGCCCGATCTTTTGTCGGATTTGACGAAACAGACTCAACAGTCGGTGGAAACGAATCCTATAGTAGTCCCAGTTTTTATGAGGCGAACCTCCGCATCATCCCGAAGGGACACGGCCTCCGAATCGAAGGGTCAACGGGGAGCGGCCCCCTGGCGTTGAAACGCATGTCATATACAAGAAAAGTGAGTAATCAAGAAAATGAAAATGATAGATCACGTATTGGTAAACCAAAAAGTAGCTTGAGAAGATCAACAAGCGTAGATGATTATTAGACAAGGGGAATTCTTTTCCTTATTGTTAAATATTTTGTTATTATTGCGGGTTGTGTGCAATTTCCTTTATTTATTGTATAAGATTCAAACTTTTTTCGCTGGGTCGAAAGTTTGAGGTTTAAATAGCTTTTTTGGGGTGGGAACAAAAATTATATAGGGAAGGAATATATATATAAGAGAGATATATATATTGAGAATCTTTTTTGTAGGGGGGTTTTTGAAGGGAATGATCTATATATTAACAAAATCAAAATCATCTGGGATCTTCTACTTCTTGGGCTTTGGGTAGGTTTGGCCAACGAAAACTTATATATATATACAATTACATAAATTTAAAAATGTTCTTAGATTACAATATCCACACTTCCTTTAATACACACATATTTAAATCACTATCTTTCAACAAAAATTAATTATTTAATAATTAAATTAGAAGAGGATAATTAACAAAAAAATTTATTTTATGTATATTTTCTCTCCTTATTACTATATATATATATATATTATCCAACAACAACCCACAACCAACCAAATCAAACGTTAATCTACAGAACCAACAAAAACTTTGGATATGGGCAATAATTTTGGCGATCGTGGTATATTACTTTATCACACTGAAAGAACGAAATAATACGGACTATTGCAAGATGAAGAAGACACCATTTTTACCAACCTTTTAATATCTTCTTAGGGAATTGGAGTTTATTTAAATTATATTTATTTGATATAAAACATTTTAAGATACTTTTAAGTTTTTTATTTTATTTTATTTGAGATTACTTTTTTTATTATTTATTATTTTATTTTTATCCTTTTAACACACATCCCGCACAATATTTTCTCATAAACTTTGTAATTTTTATATTAGCAATACATCATTCATTAGTTTTCGTTTGTATTAAAAGAATTCATCAAAACATAATATATATTATATATATATTTGATAAAATATATATTTGTTAATACCATTAACATTAAAATTAAAAATATACATTAATATCTCAACTTTTTTGGATTTTTACTTTATTAAAAAAACGTTTGGCGTTTGTTCATAAGAGAACATACAATGCTAACCAAAAAGAAATTGTCGACGCAGTAAATCTTAATAAGTTCCTTTGTATTTTCAAAAATTAAAAAATTTATTAAATTATATGATAACTTATTACAGTCAAACCTCTATATAACGATACGGTCGGGACATATGGGGTGAGTGCTGGGAAAAGGGATCAAATTGTAAAAAAAACTTTTTTAAAAATAATTAAAAAGTTCTGGATCAAATGATAAAAATAGTATTTATTTTACTTAGAAATAAATTTTTGAAAAAATTCTCAATTTGGTCCCTTTTCTCAGCATATGTAATTTTTAATATCGTTATATCAAATTTATACTGATATTTATGACCTTAAATATAGTGGGTAAATAAAAATTTTATCGGTATATCAAGTTTTTAATAGTATATCGGTAAATAGTTTTTTGATATTGATTTGTTTAATAAATTTGAAGAGGAAAATGAAATTAAAAAATTTATAAGAAAGTTTAATAAAGAGTAATCAAAGTGTTAAGATCCATTAGTTGATGCTATAAATAATATTAAAACAAATAGTTTGGAAAAATAACTTTCTTTGAAAATGAATAATGTGAAATTGAAAAAGAAATTAAAAAAGCATAAATGAAAGAATTGAAAGACTTAAAGCAGATATATTACAAAAAAAAATGAAATTTGAATAGAATAATCAAGAATGAAATTTTAACTTTAAAATGAAGGAATTAGATTTAAAAAAATGCTTTATAACTTAGAATAACAAATTAGTTATAATAGTATAAATTTTAATTATGTAAAATAATAATGAATTTTGGAAATTATGATATTAATTTGCTCTATAACCTTTATTTATAATAAATAAAAGTATTTTTCAATAGGTAATTTGATCAATGTTGATGATAATAATAATCAAATTGTTTAAATTAAAAAGATTATGTTATGATCAAATTATTTAAGTTAGAATTATGATAATCAAATCATTAAGATAATGATCAAATCATTTAAGTTAGAATATTGATAATTAAATCATTTAAATTAAAATAATAAACAAATCATTGAATTATTAAAATTAAATTAGATTGATAATAATCAAATTATTCTAATCAAATTGATAAAATTTATAATTTATACTTAATCAAAGAAAATTTTAATAGCTTTTACTTTATTTTTTTTATTATTCAATTATTTTATTATATTTATATTAAAAAGAAATTTAAAAAATACTTTTAATTGTAATTTTACAAACTATTACTTTAAACAAAATATTTGAAAGTTGATTTTTTTAATTAAATAATAATATTTAACTATATTAGTTTATTTAATACTAATTTTTAAAAAGATAGATATACAAATATTTACAGATTAAAAATATGAGATCTTTACAATAGAGAAGGAAAACTGTTAAAAAAATAAAAAATGAGTTGATGCTAAATTTGCATGTATTTCAACATAAAAGTCATATTTAAAATATAAAGTAAAATTGATTTTTTCTGGCAGTTTTTCTTTTCTATCACTTTCTATTGTAAGGAACTCATATGATATTTTACAAATCAATTATATTTCAAAAAAATTATATATTCTTAAGATAAGAAGATATAATTCAGTGCATATACCAAGATAATCATATAAATTTCTCATATAATATAATATTTAACAATCAATTCTTATGATATACAACTTATATGATAGTTTTAACTTCAAAAATTTAACAAAAATTTATCTTTTTATTTTCTTATAGATTGGAACTAACTTCTTAATTAATAATGAAAAATAATGCTATTTTATATTTATTAACATTTTAAATATCTGATAATGTTTAAAAGTAGTATCATAATTTACTATTATATAAGGAAATTGTTGTAATCCTCTTTTTTTTTTATTTAAATTATGGTGTAATACATAAAATCTATAATCCAATCCAATTGAATTTGTGAAAAAACCCGAAGTTAACTTTTTTTCCAACATATACGTAAGTTTGACAAATACTTCAACGATTTGATTTCCTGCTCGTTAATTAACTTCTTGGAGCACAGGCTTCCGACAGAAGAAAAAAAGCCCACAGCCTATACCAAGGAACACTTAGTTCTATTGCAAAGAAGTAGTTACAGGGTAAGTCCAAAAAGAGTGACCGCACGCGCTGTATTGATGCTTATAAGATGTGTCGCGAGGGTCATTTATTTGACCTCTGTGTCAAGTGAGGAAACGCCTCTGTGCTGGTTTGGATATTACACTACCTCCGACAAACCTCTGTGTTTTGGAGTTATGACCTCTGTGATGTATGTTTCCTTTGGTACATACTAACTTTGTGTCCAATCCTAAAAAAAATCCTTAAACAGAATCAAAACAAGATCAGATCAGGATCTTTTTTAAAAAAAAAAAATGAAAACGCAGATCGTTTTTATTATATTTTTATTGTATTTATATTATCTAATATAAAAATAAACTAAACGTAGATCAATGAAATTAAAAAATTTAAAAATTTTTCATTTTATTTTTAATATTATTTATAAAATGTTATACAATTTTACAAATATCGAAAAAAAAAAATTCCCCTGAAATATAATGGACATATCAACTATATTTGGTAATAGTAAATTTATTGTGCAATGCAATTTGATTGGTTCCCGTGAAGTTACTAATCATTGCTATTTTTTTTAGAGTTATTTAAGGAAATATTAACACCATTGTATAAATTGTATAAATTTATATTCGATGTACGTATTCTTTTTTTGTTTAAAAAAAAATAATATATCATAGTAATTCTAACTCATCAATTTTAATTAGGGAAATAAAATACAAATGTTGGTTCGGTTGTGGGTTGTGGATTTTGCATTAGATATAATGCTTATCAATATAATCAATACAAAAAATATAAAATCAATTAAATCAATTTTTTTAAGGTATGTATTTAAGTAACCTTAATAATAAAAATTAACTTTATAATAATCACTTTTATTTTTAGCCTTATCGTTATTATATTTAATATTTTAATACTTGGAGCCTTAATTAAAAAATTTAATATATGGATCATTTTTGAGATGATAATTGAATCGATCATGATGGAAGAAGATATAGGAATTACAAAAATACATGAAGGCATTCTTAGATCGGATCTTAAAATGATATATTTAGCCATTATAATTACTATTTCGATTAAAATTTTTCTCTTCTTCCAGAATATCGATTTCTTCTTATTATTCTTCTATTATTTCTTCTGTCTTCTTCTACCTCTCCTTTTTGTATTTTTTCTTGTACTTCTTTTTTTTGATAAAAAAAATTTCTTTATTTCATTATTTATGTTTAAAAATAATTAATAACATTGTCATACTAATCTAAAAAACATTAAATTTTCATTTTAAATAATATAATAAATAAAACTAAATATTTTATACATATAAATAACAAGTTATAATTCTTTAATGATGTTATTTTGTGTTTGACTAAAATATTTTTCTTTATTAATTATAATAGGATTGCACATAGAAAGCCAGAAATAAATTATTTGATGATGATTTATTATCAATATAGAAATTACTTTTGCTATTGTTAATAAATTTTTTTTTAACAAATACTTTATTTATATTACAACCATTTTTTAAACATTATGGAAACTATATTTATTATATATATCGATACATTTTTTTGCTTAATACATTAATTATAATTGTAATTATTATACGAAGATGACCATAACAACTCATATGATAAGACCAAAGAACATAAAGTTAAAAAATAACTTCCATCCACTGCAGCCAGAGCATTGCTATGGTTAGGTAAAAACTCCAAAACCCTTCAGGAAGCGTTTTCCTGACACGTAAAGTTAGATACCTAGCAATTTACTCATAAATAAAAGCAGACCCTTACCGAAAAAAAACCACCTCTCGAATAGGTTACCGTCAACCCCCTTCCTATCAGGCTTTTGCTTGAAGCCCAACAAAGTTGGCCAAGTTGTCATATACCTCCAAGTCGAACTAAGTTGGCTAATACCTCCAAGTCGAACTCCAGCTGTTATTACGTTCGTCTGTCACTTGGTCTATATATATGTAGAAGAAAAAATAATATAATAAAAATAACAATACAAAACAAATAAATATATATACCGACATTGCCCTTCTTCGTGTTTAATAAAGTAAAGAATATTAAACGTTGATATGTTAAGATTCAACACTAAAACATTATTATATTTTTTTTTTTGTCTTGTCAATATGGCAAAAGTATTGATCTTAATCTTGTGGTAATACCGAATTTGGGTTTCACATTTCACAGAAATGTCTATCAAGAAGCAATACCACAAGTCGCATAAAAATACCCCGATATCGTACTGCGCATTTCAGACATAAATTTATTTTTTCATGCTATACCTTTGTCTGGGAACTTTAAGAGATGCTTCCAGTATCCGGTCTTGATTTTCTGGAATATAATTGTAACACTTCAGCTTAGTAATGCGCGGTATTAACAATTCAAGCTCGGATGCCATGTTCACTAATATTTTGTACAAGATGGGAATTATTATGTGACAAATGTAAAGACTCGTCTTATTGATACAGATAAAAAATAAATACAATTACAGGACTTTTCCCATGTGTTATCCTGAATTTTTCATTGTATTAGGATATTTTTTTTTTATAGAAAAAAACAATGCATGAATTTATTTAATCTTTTTAATATAAAATAGCAATTATTTTTATACATCAAGTATCTGTAATTCGGATTATGCGTCTAAATGTAAATCTAAAATCTACATAACGTGTCTGATTCACATTTTGATAAATAACTCTAGATCTGATTTGACCAAGAATTTACGTGAAGCTAACTGAGATGATGTCGGACAAGAAATATCAATTAATGCACGGAATACAAGTGCCTTTCGTGTTTTGCTCAAATTATTCATACTAGCAAGAGCGGTTGGGGTTAAAGTTATTTGTAGGCGGGTCCTCTTCTGATGATGATTCGTTGGTGATACATAATTCAAATTCTTTGCAGTTAGAAACTTCGTTGTCCTCTTCAGATTGATCCTCTTCCTGTAATGGATCTTCGTCCGAACCTACTTCTTGATATGTTCTTCTTAGAAAGTTGGCCAGGTGCTCCAAAGGGGTGATATTTTCTTCTAATAAAATAGATTGTTAAAAAGTATTATTATAGCAAAGCAATAATAAATAAATTACTTCTCGACAAATCAATGTGCGTTTTGAACCAAATTTCATTCCGAAAATCTATTATGTAGTATATAGTAACCTTAAATACAGATAACTAGCTGTATTCAAAAATAACAATAAACAAACCTCCTCTTCCGTCTTTATTAAGCTCTATCCACTGCTATTCTAATCCTTCAAAACAAGATGGAATTTCGGATGTTGAGGGTGTGTTTTTCAAAATATGGTTCAACGGAGTGTTTCCTAAAGTGTTGTTCGATGGGGCGTCTCCTAAAGTATTGTTCGAGGCCGAGTTATTACTAAAGCTGTGAATAAAAGGTTTGTATATCAGATGGTATAATATGCTTTGGCTTTATATATCTAATAATACCTGAGAAGTTGTTGTATAAGTAAATGAAAAATAACTAATGAAAAAATGATCAGAAGGATGTAAATATGATAAAAGGAAGAAAAGGAAGATGTAAATATGATGAAAGGAAAAAAGGAAGAACGGCTATAATATAGTAAAAATTCATTTTTTGATAAGAGCGAGCTGTCCATGTCCGAGATTTTTTTATGTCCGGGACTTTTTGTCCGCATTAATGCTGGCCATATATATCTCTTGTTAATTCAAAGATATCTAATATCGGTCCATGTCCCAACTGTCCTGCGGACACAGTCCCGGACATGGACTTTCGGACGTCCCGTGTCCGCCAAAAATCACCGGGACAACGTCCGTGAACAGTGTTGATGATCTTTGTTTCCTTTAATCTATCACGTGATTGCCAAATTTTGAATAAATGGAGAAATCCAAATAAATATTTATTACTAAATCTTATCTTTCAAATATGTTGTCAGAAGTTGCCGCTCCACAAATTCAAATCCATACATACAGTCATTTATTTCATTCACAACAAATACATTTTCAACTTACAATTCTTAAAGATTCCGTGTTTATATGGGTTGGTTCTGAAGGGAACGAAATATTAGGAGACTTGGCAATTATCATGCCTCCACTTTTACGAAACAAAGGTTCTACCGGAACAACTATATTAAAAAGTGATGTTGAGGAACTCTCTAAGCAGTTTGGGCAGAAACTTGGTAATTTATTTACGATTTAATAAATTGTTATTACTTTGAATTTTATTTTGTAAGTTTTTAAATATATCTATTATACGTTTCACCTATCTTAAGCTACTAAATTTAATAAGCAATTCTTCGTAAGCATCAATTTGCCACCAAATGCGGAGGAAATTACATTTGCCGAAAAGAAAGTTATTGACATATTAAAGGAATTCTTTTCATAATTTTAAAATTTTCTTGATTATTTGAAATTTTCGCGTTTATGTTTTGTTTATCGAATCCTTAATAATAAAAGTTTTTTTTTCTAAAAAAAAAAATATATTGAAAATATTTTAATTAACTGGGTTTTTTCCTGATATTCCTTGTTTTATTTTTTCCTGCAAATTTTCTTTTCTTGAAAGTAACTTTGCTAGAATCTTCATCCTTTATAGAATCTTCGGGTATTTGATGGTCCAATGGAAATGTTTTTTCAACCACTTTAAAATTCCTCAGATCATCTTGATCTTCTTCATCCTCATCATCTTCCTGAGGAATGTTTTCTTGAGATTTTGATTCATTATCAACTTGACCCTTTTGAAGAACAGGTGGAGGTGTCACAGGCATCCACTCTCCAATCACAACTTCAGTACCATCACCAGAATCAGAATTTTTATTTAATTCTGTTGGATCTAATGAATCTGCTGGCGGTATATATGAAGAAACTGAACCTGCATATATCATGTCATGTTCACTAAGCGAACTTTTGCCAGGTGGTGCTTTTATGTTACTTTTAGACGTAAATGTTTCCATTGAAGCCCCCGGTGCTTCAAGTATGATATCTTTTTTATATTGTTTCATTGCAGCCTAAAATTTCCGTATCAAAGAAATTAATTTAATAAATATAAATATGTTTAAGAAAAATTGGAAATTCATTACCCTTTCAATCCTATCTAACTCTCGTTTGGTTTTTTCATCTTCCTTACGATTTTCATGGTCTCTACGACGAATGTCACGTAAAAATTTTTCAACATTTTCTTTATGCTTTTTTCCTTGTTCATGCATTGTACGGCTCTATTAATAAGAAAGAATATTATTTAATATAATCTTATTTTATAATTATAATCTTCTAAGCTCGCCCATGAACTAAACGTCAATGGAAAAAAAAATTCCTTACGGGCTTATTATCCGCAATATAAATGCGGCAATATTGACACCAATGCTTTTGTTGTGATATCCAATAATCTGACCTAAAAAAATCATTTTTTTCAAAAGAAAAATGTATAAATTAATTTAAATTCATGTACCAAATAACCTCTATTTTTTTAATTAATTCGAAATTGTAACTAACATTTTTGCAATCAAATTTCTTATAACAATATTCAAAAGTTGAGAAAATAAATTTTCGGCAAGGATTCTTCAGTTCATTGAATTACCCCGTGGATCAAAAAACGTAGTGTAACAATAATTTGAAGCTAAACATATATAGATAACGTATTGAGAATCTAGTTTACTCACGTGTAAAATAAAATTTCGTGGTAATTTTTACGCGTCTTCTCACGAAAATGGTCACTATTTTTTATCAAGTTTTTGGACGCGAAGTAAATAAAGTTAAATTGGAAAAAGAAAATGACTTAATGGATCTCCGTAAGGCAATTAAAGCGGAAGAACAGCTTACAGAAGCTTCTAGTACCTTTTACTATAAGTAAAGAAACCGCCTGAAAATCAATATACTACATTAAACAACAACTTTTTCAAAATGGAAAAAGAATCTCTTCGAATTAATAGAAAAATTTGAAATTAATGATGATAATCTAATTCTACTTACAAACTATCCGTATACCAACTTTCCTTTATGATTCAATCCTTATTTATAATATGTCCCTGTTTTTGCACTCTGTATTATTATAGTTGATACATCAACACGAAAGTTAACATTTACTGAAATCAAAGAAATACTTGACAAATATGTTAACAAATGTAAAAACTCTCGCAAATCACTCTCCAATTCTGAAAATATTCCTGATGATACAGAAGACATATCAACATATTTGAAATTTGTGAATCGTGAAAACGCAATAGTGCAATAATGAAAAATATGGACAAATTACATAAGCTTGTGATGAATCCAGGAAGATATGCGGAACCTATGAAATATTTCTATTTTGCTGCTGCTGTAGGAAAGGTAAAAAACAACGTTTGCTCGACGTGCTTATGAAAATGAAGATAAATATCATGGGGTTGTGAGACCTGAAATTGCAGTTGTAGTGAAAAATTGTATTTATGCAGGTCGGTCTTTTCGAGTAGCATGTGACAGTTTCACTATATATGAGTTTAAAGAGGAACCCGAGGTTGTATTTGGGCTAAGATTACTTTATGAAGCGATGAAGTATAAACTTGAAAAGTAAAGATTTTACATGTTGATTTATATTTGCCACTACAATACTAATATAGTCACTTCTCATCTTTAAAGAACAGAAATTTCAAAATATGAGAATTTTCGTGAAAAATTTTAAGGAACATTTTATTGCCCTTAACGAAATTCTTGATGTTATACTTTCTTACTTTCCAAATACAGATAAAAGTTCGGATCTACCTCTTATAATCATCAATATTGACGAAACAAACTCAATATTTGAACAGAATAGAGACAAGTTTCTTAAAGGAGTTGTAAAATCCCTCTCAGATAGGATTTTTCAACATTACTTTATCTTTCCTGTTCTAACCGGAACCCATGCAAGCAATCTGTTTAATACTGTCAAATCAACAAATGCCAAATTTATTTGAAGAAATTTATTTACCATTACTAAAAAATAATCATGCTAAGGAAGTTATTCTTGAATTAGCAAACCGTAAACAAGTAAGCTAAATATTTGGGGCTTGTTGCTTAAAACAATCTGTATGCTTATATATTTATATTTATTAGAATGAAGATTCAGCAGAATAGTAATTATAAGTTATATAAGTTACATGCATTATTTTATTAGTCCGGAGCGTTAGCGAAGTCTACCCCCCGCTCCTCATATCATGAGACGGTTACACTACGTTTCTAAATTAAGTAAATATCCATCCCGATAAAAGTATCCAAAATAAAAAATTCAAAATCTTTCAAAAAGAAACAAAAATTTTATTTATTACAATTTTTCGTGTTCTTTCTTTTGTCATCTCTTATATACATTTTCTAACTAATTAATCAATCTGTCTGGGTCAGTTAATCGAAATTAAATAAAGAACGAATTGATACAAAGAAAATTAATACAATCATCGCTTATACAATATTTTTGGAGTTTGAAAAAGGATCTAATATTCATTAAGAAATACTTTATTGTACTTTATTGTTTCGAAACATTCAATTTACATGCAGTAACTATCTAAAAATTGAGCCGCAGTTATGTCTTATAAACACAATTTTCTTTGTTCCGTAGCCAGAATTAGGGCGGATTTACTTAATTTAGAAATCTGCGATTGATCATTTTTTAATTCCGCCATGATCACGTTAAGTAGTCTTTATCATGTGTTCTGTAACCCGTGAGAAGCTACGGTTTCCGTTTCCCTAGGTCCGGTCTACGTTTGTCCAAAAATTGAGTCGAAACGTAATTGTTCACGTTCGTTACACTTGTGCTACGGACTTAACAACGGTTTTCGAAACCGTTCCCTAGTTTATAAAATTTCGTCGCCGGAGATCATCGTCCCTGCACCGGACAATGTAACGCAAGTTTGATTTTGACCCCTGAAAACATTTTTAAGATAAAAAGATCGAGACACGTAAAAAAAAAAAAAAAAAAAAAAAAAATCTTTCCTATAAAAAAAATGCCAGAGACTAGTATTCCTACAGAACTTTATTCCTTAGTTTTTCGATTTTTAATAGACGCAGGACTTTTAAAGACATCCGAAACTTTTAAAAAAGAATACAAGGTATTACAGTTTTATTATTTATTTATTATGAAATTTGTATCTAAGAATTTTTTTTTTTTTTTATTAGTCAATAAAAGATTTAAAACAAGAATATGATCTAGTTGAAGTTTTCAAGTCTTATAAGTCCCTTGTAGCTGGGTAAAATTAAGTCTATTTCACGCGTTTATCTGTATATACAAAAATTTCCTTTACTAAGATTTATTTTATTTATCATTAGTAAAAACATTGATGAAGAAGCAGATTCTGATACTTCTTCCTCTTCTTCGAGTTCTGGGAGTAGCATGTAAGCGTATTTAAGTTAAAAAACTTATATATCTAATATAATTAAATATTTAATTACCTTTTAAATAGTTTATCTTTTAAAGGTAATGATGAAAGTAACTCCGATGAATCATCATCATCATCATCTTCTTCTTCATCTGAAGAAGAAGAAGAAGAAGATAACCAAAGTTTATTAAAAAAAACTAATACTAAGGATGTATCATCAAGTGAAGACTCTACTGATGATGATTCTTCATCCTCAGATATAGAGACTTTTGACGAGAAGGTAAAAAACGATTATAATAAAATGGAAGATAGTTCAAGTTCTTCGAGTGAAAACGATAGCGATTCAAGTGAAGAAGAAGATGCTATTAATGATCAAGATACTACCGTAAGTCTTGGTAAAAAGACGAAAGAGTTAAATATATCAGATTCAAATAGTTTAGATGCATCTTCCGAAGAAAGTGGAAAAGAACAAAACGTCAAAACGAAAATCAAGGTAAAGGATGAATCAGACTCTTCCGATGAATCATCTGACGAAAGTGAAAGTTCGTCAAGTGAAAGTGAAGAAGAAAAAAATGATAAAATGGAAATTGATTCGGATAATGATTCAGATGGTGAATCCGATAATGATTCATCTAGTAATGAAGAAAGCGAGACTTCTAATGCCGATAATACTCGACATAACATGAAAAATGGTGGTCAAATAAGTAGCAGGAGTAGTAAATCAGAGAATGAAACAAATGGTGGTATTAAATATAAATCATCAATTAAAAATAATTCGAAGCGTAAAATGATGGATGAAACAAGTTCTGAATTAGATAAGTTGGAGACAGCTAATCAAAATTGTTCACTACATGAAATTAATGAAAAGAATATCGCTTCTGCTACTAATGGGTTAAAACATAACCTTGATTCATGTGATGAAACTATACAACCTTCGAAGAAACTAAATTCGAGTGATTTAAGGTAATTAAATCAAGAAAGAAAGGATTATGAGCCACAAATCCCCTCTATAATACTAATAATATTCTTTTAAATTAATAAATAGTACCACGCCTATAACGTATGTCACTACTAGTATTCACTTTCAACCGATATCAGTTCAAAAAAATCAGAGGAAAATTAATAAAACAAATCAAGTAAGTCAAACATTTTTTTTTTTTTTTTTTTTTTTTGAACATTCTGGCTTCATTAAGAAGATTTGTTTATGTTATCAATAGCTTATGTAGAATATCATTTAAATAGGTAGAAGATAAAAGCAATAACAACGGTTTGACAAATAATCGTAGAATAAATCCAGATGAAGTAGAATTTCTAGACGAACGATTAAAAGACAATAGTTTTATGGCTAAGGTATTTATTTTTTGTTTGATTATCGTTTTTCTGTTTTTAAATATTATCATTACCTGACAATAATTTTATATATTAATAATACCTAGGGTGGCGCGGTTGGGTCCTATGGTTTTAAGGCTCATAATGATTTAATCGTTACTCGAGGTAAAGACTTTCGTGCACAAAAAACTAAAAAGAAAAGAGGTTCATATCGTGGAGGAAAAATTGATTTAGAGTCTCACTCTATCAAATTTGTTGAATAAGATTAAAAATATGTATGAATGTTATAATATGAATGAATAATAAATATAATTCATTATTCCTTTTTTAATCATGAAATTTCAAATTTATTCAAATTTTGAAAATTCTGAAAATATACTACTAAACTTATAAACATTTATATATATAATAAAACTGTTAATGATGTACATAAAGAATAAATTTTATATAACTAATGTCTCTAAGAAGAGGAAAAGAGAAAAAAATAGAGGCTAAAAATACATTTTTGTGATATCTAAATGATGAAATGTATATTTAGAATGTTAATAATATACTAACTAAATTGAAATTATTGATGATAATATACTGGTTGATGATAATAATAATAAACACCATTATTCTCTTGTACAGTAGTTGGAGTTTGTGTTACAAACGAAGATGATTTAACGGAATTATCGCTATTTTTCGATTCAGTCGTAGTAGTAGGAGGAGTAGGAGTAGGAGTAGGAGGGGGAGGAGGATAATAATAATAATACATATTAGGATCGTAAGAGTCGTAATAATAAATCATTCCATTATTTTCGGTACCATATGGAGCAGGCGTTGGATGTGGCAAATTATTTTCAGATGAAAGATTATTTCTTAATCCTTGAGGTAAATTATCCGTATAATATGAGATTGGTGGTTTTTGTAAAAGGAAATTATTTGATGTGCCCTCGTTGGAAATGGGATTGTCATTAGAAAGAGCATGTGCTCTCGGTTGGAACGGAGGTGCAAAGACAGCTAATTTTTTTTTTTTTTACAAACAATATACATATACATACGCATATACACATATATTCCATTAATATATATATAATGTTCATATATTTGTTATATTTATTCTAGCTAAATTAATAAATCTCTATAGGGAAAAGTTTGGTATTACTTTCATTATAACGTAATAATTCATTAAAAACACAAACCTGATGGTGGGATTTCACTCGTTCGAGAGTTATTTGATACTTCTTTTAACGATGATTCATTTGTTGGAGTTTGTTGCTGTATTGTCGAGGAAGAAGCAGCTCTTTTGGTTGAATACCTTTTAGATGCCTGATTGGTTTGAACTCGATCTTTATCATTTTGATTATTATTACTAATAGATAAATCATTAAAGCTTGAAGTAATATTGTTTATTGATTCTGAAGTAGAATGGGTTCCATTATTTTCAATCGCTTTTTTACTCTGAGGATCTAAAATAATTTCGACTTCGGATCCTTCATTTGATCCTTCATAGACTCTATCTTGTTCTTTTGTTGAGGATTTTGACTCTGTTCCTCCCGTTGTGAATGAACTTGACGCAATAGCATTCACATCTGTTGAATCTTGTTCCTTTCTCACCTCTTCAACTTGAATTTCCGCAACCTTATCTTTATTCTTTTCAAGTTCATTTTCATTACTTCCGTTATGCACAACATCCGAGACTTTAGTATTTTTCACATCTTCATTTAAATGTTGTTTTACAGATTTGTCCTGAACTACATTTTTTTTGCCATTTACCATTTCATTAACAACTTGGCTAGAATTAAAAGAGCGATCCCGATTTAAATTTGAACGCATATAATGTCTACTACTATAACCCCTTCCACGAAATCCGTTTCTACCTCTTGATTGAGACATACTATCTTTTTCTGTGGAAGGATTATTATCATTAAGTTGGGACGAAGTTATGTTTTCCCCGTTGTCGTTATATGAATTTTCTGATACATTTTCACCTACACTCGGTTTATTATTTTGGTTAAAATCATCAGAATTTACACTCCCTTCTTTATTCTTTGCATCAAATTTTGAAAAGAACTTCCCTCTTGATCTGGATTTTTCTTCAGTTGAACCTCTTCTCCTTCCATTCGAAAAGTTCGAAGGTCGTGAATAATTTGACTTCGGAGGTGTAATGTTATGTGATTGACGTCGAGGTGGCTTTTCAAGAAAATTGAAATAATGATGAATACCGATTATAGCAACCATTGCAAAAAGGATTTGTTAATATAAAATAAGTTTGTCAAAATACCGTAGGAAAAATTTCGCGACGATGTTGTATCCTACGTTGATAACCCTTTCTATATTTCTCTTCGTCTTCAATCTTCATCAATTCTTGAAACCCGTCATGATCCCATCGACCCCTTGGAGGAGAATTTCCCCATACACCTCTACCTCTATTAATAAACAAATTGGGAAAAAGAAATTGACACTCAACAATTTATATAACTACAGTACTTTCGAAATTTCAAAGATCATTTTATATACCTAGAAGCGAATGGCGGTTTACGATGATGTGAATCAAAATCATTTTTAAGTTCATCCTTAATAAACCGATCATCATGTCCCCAGAATTCGCCAAGATGAGGTACAAATGCGGGATCTTCTGCTAATTTTTTACGATACTCTTGTCTTGCCAACACTTTCTTTTGCCAACCCGTCAATGGTATTTCGGGGGTATTAACGGAATTCTGAGAATTATCGAGCATTTCATCCTTTATTTCATTCTCGATTCCTGAATTACTTTGTAATTCTTCTTCATCTGTAGAACTAGCATCATTGCCAACATCAGAATCTTTAATGACGGTAATAGAATTATTCTCTTCCTGTTTGTCTGTCTTTAATTTTTGTTTGTTAGTAGATATGATTTTTTTTTCAACTTTCGACTTTGTACCGGATTCAGGAAGGTCTTCACTTGAAGTTGAAATCGTATCTTCAATAAGAGAATTAGTTTTTTCGTGAATAGGTTTTACGTTTTCTTTTGTTGGAATTAATTCTTCTCTTGTTACTAATGTCTCTTTGATAGAACCAGCCTCTTCCTGCGTTTCTTCTTCACCTTCACTGTGAGACGCTTCACTTTCTACATCAGATTCTTCACAACTTGCCTCTGAATCAGATAGATCACTAGACTCAAGTGCTCCACGTGTAACGTCGAATTCTTCTTCGTCTTCACTATGAACATCAACAGGAACTTCACGTCTCCTAAGACGTTTAAGTTTATGCATTTTTAAACTATACTTACTAAATCGAAGTAAGTAGTATACAAATGTTAAAATATCTTAATTAAAGATACTTTTTTAAAATTTGAATATTCTTTGGAGTTTTGTTTTTCTTTTGTCCTGCATATACTAACCCAAATTCACGTTTTAAACGTGACTTGATGTTAATCATGTTCCACACTATTTTTTTTTTTTAAAAAAAAATTTTTCATCAGAAATCGAGTTTATTCTGAAAATGGATTCGGATAATCAAGAAATTTTTATAAAAAAAGCAAAATTAGTTGCAACAAATCATAAGTCTCAAGTAAATGATAAAATATACAAAAATTCTAAAATAAAGTCTAGTGATAAAGCTGATACGAAAAAGTCGAAAAAACAAAAGAAAAGGAAAAGAAATGAACAAGAGGAGTTTAATCCGACTAATGTAACAAATAAGAAAGCTGATACTAATAAAAAGAGAAAAAATAAAAAAACAAATGTAAAAGATAATTCGAATGATGATGATTCATCCGAAAATAATATAAAAAGAAAGAAAACGAAAACGAAGAAGAATGAGAAAACTACGAAAAACAAAAAAAACAAGAAAAATGAAGATCAATCCGATGAAACCGATACATCAAAGACTATTACCGACGATGATTCTGCCTTTATGAACGAATCAAAAATAGAAATAATTTCACAGTCTAGTGTCGACGAATTTTATAAAAAAAATGAAATTCAAATCACCGGTGATTTAATCTTTAAGCCAATCATGTCATTTACCCAATTGGAAATAGACGAAAATATTAAAATTGTCTTGAATAAATTCGAAAAGCCGACGCCTATTCAGGCAAGTTGTTGGCCAATTTGTTTAAGTGGAAGAGATGTGATTGGTATCGCTGAAACTGGGTTAGTAATTGATATATTTTTTTTTTAAAAAAAGAAATAATAATAATTTTATTTTAACATTTCACGCCAATGATTTATTAGTTCTGGAAAGACACTTGCGTTTACTGTACCAGCTTTGAAACATATCAAAAATTTATTTTACATTCCACCAAACAATAAACCATCGATTCTCGTAATTGCCCCAACTCGTGAATTGGCAATGCAAACACAAGAACAATGTAAACAATTTGATTCAACTTGCGGTATTAAAAGTGTCTGTATTTATGGCGGTGTCCCCAAAGAAGAACAACGTAAAGCGTTACGTAAAGGTGTTCATATTGCGGTTGCAACTCCCGGTCGTTTGATTGATTTGATTAACGAGGGCATTTGCGATATTAGCAATGTCTCTTATCTTGTATTGGACGAAGGTGAATTAATTTTTTGAATTTGTTTCTAATTTTTTTTTAAACAATTATTTCCTTATATATTTATATTTAGCGGATCGTATGCTTGATGAGGGTTTTGAAAAGGAAATTCGACAGATCATTGTCAAGACCCATAAGGATCGTCAAACTGTCATGTTTTCTGCAACGTGGCCTGAATCTGTACGTAAATTGGCTAACGATTTCTTGAATAATCCCATGAAAGTTACAATCGGTTCACCCAATTTATCAGCAAATAGCAATGTCACACAGATTGTTGAAGTAATTGATAATACCATGGATAAGGAACGTCGTTTGTTAAATCTTCTCGAACAATATCATATTAATAAGAATAGAATTTTGGTATTTGTTCTCTACAAGAAAGAAGCTTCACGTGTCGAAAATATGTTGGCACGTAAGGGGTTTGAAGTACTGTCGATCCATGGAGATAAAAGTCAATTCCAACGAACGGAAGCATTAAATGCATTTAAGGATGGAATTTACCCTCTTTTGATAGCAACAGATGTCGCTTCTAGAGGTATAGATATTCCTGATGTAGAGTATGTTATTAATTATACTTTCCCGTTGACTATAGAAGATTATGTTCATCGGATTGGTAGAACTGGACGAGCTGGTAGCAAGGTAAAGGAATATTAATCCATTTCATTTAATAAATATCCTACTTATATATATAATTCTCGTTTATCTTTTCTTTGCAGGGTATATCTCATACTCTTTTTACTTCACATGATAAAGCGCATTCTGGAGAACTTATCAATGTTCTACGTCAAGCTAATCAAAAGATACCAGAATCCTTATTAAAATTTGGTAGTAGCGTTAAAAAGAAGGAACATAAAGCATATGGTGCTTTTTATAAGGAAGTTGATCATAGTTTGAAACCTACAAAAATTAGATTTGAAGATTAAGGTTTTTCAGCATTTGATTTATAATGATAATGTACCCTATTTTTTTTTTTTTAATTTAAACAATTGATTTAATTCATTGTCCATATTCTGCCAAATCTTTCATATTGTACTCAGCATCAAAAAAAAAAAGAAAAAAAATTTTAGTTTAAAACTCGAATAAAAAGATAGATTTGTTTGATTAATTAAATTATTTCTATTCGAAATGGTTGTAAATTAACTAAAAGGAATTCTATTGCCTTGATAAATGCGCAATATGTGTGGAAAAATTAATAAATCATGTGCAACTTTAATTTTTAATCTTACGAGTATGGTTAGTTCCACCATGAATGCCACGAATGAAACCGCAGGCCTTACCATTTTAAAACCTCAAGTTTTATAACTTTATTCGCATTTTTTCTCAACATTTTTTTTTTCGAAATTAACCTTGTGATCGCCATTACATGCAACATCCATTTATTCTTCTATTTGATTTTTTCATTACTTTGGGAAGTTTCATAAGTTGCTGAAATAGGACGTCTTACCGTCCATCTTATCTTAAGTAAAAGAAAGGTATTGAAATATTTGGTGATAAGTTTCGAATTCCATGTTGTTGAGCTGCTAGTCACACTGCTTGCACTTTCGCTTGCACTCTAAAATCAAGTAGTAATTGATTTATTGTGGGGAAGTCGAGATAATGCGTCAGCGTTTAAATGAAATTTTCCTTTTCTGTTCTGTATTGAATCTGGTAAGGGAATTCCATTATACGAATAATCCATCTCATAAATTTTCGAGGTGGGTCCGGTTTGTTGCTGAAAGTTCAGATGCAACTTTTATTAAAAAAAAAAATACAAATAAAAGTCGCATCCGAACTTTTGAAGGCGACTTTTATTATAAAAAATTATAATAAAGTCTCATCCGAATTGCCAGAGGTGGCTTTTATTAGAAAAAATACTAATAAAGTCATATCCGACAGTTCAGATGTCTTTTATTAGAAAAAATATCAATAAAAGTGCATCTGAACTATCAAGGTGACTTTTTCTTATAAACTCTGTCAGAAGTGACTTGATTAGTATTGTTAACGTGTAATTCTTGCAAACTACAACTGTTAGGCGGGATGTTTGAGTGTTTATTCTTTTTAATTAGGTAGTAATCTTTAACATTTTATGAGTATACTTAGGATTAATTTTAAAGAGTTGTTTATATAAGAATTTAATAGATGACAATACCAAGTAATTATATTTCAAAAATACATATATTTATAAGATAAAAAAATAAAAGAAATAAAGGAAATAACAAAAAAAAGGAAAAAAAATAAAGAATATGAAATACTAAACAAAAGGAATATATAGTAAGCCAGTTACCTCTTAATACCACTAAAACTAATTTGTCAAATCCTACTTTTTTTATAATCTAAAAAGTATCCTATTTATATAAAATAAATTATATAGAAAGATAAAATTGATATATTGTATATGTCTAATTTATCAAATAACTAATATATCTAATATGTCAAATATGTTTAATTTATTAATTATATCTAATATATTGATCATATTATATATGTTATATATACTGTATAAGGTTTGCTATGAAAATAGGGTTCTGGCTAAACTTTCATACTTATTATATTTTATTCTAATACAATAAAAAATTTTCAGAATCACTTTTTTTTAGCAAATCTCTCATATATCAGATTTGTCAAATTCATTTATCATATACATTATATATAGCATTTCATATTTATCTATTCATAATATTTAATAATCTAAAATTTTAGATAATTCAGAAGTTTTGATTTAAATCAGATTATTTAAAGGTTTCAAATTAGTTTAGTTCAGATTAACATTTTTTAGATTTATAATCTAAACTAAACTAAACTGAAAATACCGAATCAGATCAATTTGATCTCTAATCAAAATTAATCTGAAATTTTTAGAGCTTTAATATTGAGAATAAAGTTTTTGTTAGAGAATTATTAACTAATTCATTTTAGTTATAGATTTATTAGTATATTATTGATTTTTAATTATAAGATGAGTCTAATTAATAAAAATACAAAAAATAAAAGAAATATTCTGATAGAAAGAATAGAAAATAGTAAATAATACATAATAAATTATTTGAAAAAATAATTTATATTTGCAAATTTGCTATTTTATCAAATTTTGTGTTTGATGTATTTGTTGATATTCAAAAAAGGCTTCAAAAATTCATAAAATGCATTTATAAATGATTATTATATAATTAGAAAAAAAGGTTTCTATCATTATTATTAATTGTTAACATATAATTTTTATAAACTATAACTGTTAAATAGAATATTTAAGTATTGATTATTTTTAATTAAATAATAATATTTAATATTTATAAGCTTTATTTTAAAATGTCATTTATGCAAGATAAAAGAAATAAAAAAATCAATTAAAAAAAAATTATATATATATAATAGGCTAGTTATCTTAAAATTGCTAAATATTAATTTGTTAATTATTATATTTATATGATTCAAAAGATATTTATTATAGCAAAATTATTATAAAATAAAAAAATATTACATAATAAATAATTAGCATATTTCACAAATTTGATTTACTTATCTGATATGTCTAACATTTCTGATATTTTTAACATTTTTAATATAAATGATATTTAATATATTTGATATAATTGATATAATAAATATAGTAAACATTAATATTATTAATTTATTAGATATGTATAATATATTAATTTTATTTTTTATATATTTAATTTTATATAAATAGAATGTTTTGTAAATGTTAAAATAATAGTAAATTAGATTTCATTTAGC